TGTTTGCCTTCGCTGCGCCGTCTCATGGAAACGACATGCGGGCGGCGGCAGCCGGGGGGTTGGCTGCGCCTTGGCTGCTGCGGAAAGTAACTTGCCGGCGAGATTCCCAACAGGAGAAGAGTTCAGGGATTGGAAAGCAAATAAGTAAAATTGGGTAAAATAAGGCAAAATAAAATTAAAGAAAACAAAAGAAAATTAAACCAAACCGGGGGGCGAAATTGCCTTACAGAGGTCAGCGAATGTTTATGGTGGAAACAAGAATTCAACAACAATTAAAAGCTGGAAGCAGCGTTCATTAGTATTCAGGACAGAGGATCTAGCTTTTATGTTTATCTTTCTCCGTGGATCAATATTGTAGCAGCATGCGCCGGGAAGGAGCAGAAATCTGGCCACTGCATGCGGCTGACCTTTCCCTCTCTCCCTACAGGTCACATCGTCTTCATCAAAACAGGTCATCTCGTCTTCAGAACGATCATCACCTAATGCAGCCGCAGCCACGGCTCTCATTAAAACCCGTATTTAATCTAGGGGCTGTGACTAAGAATCAAAGGAGAAGAGCTGTTTGCCCACACAGAGGAATTAGTGCTGTGGGAGGAAGGGAAGGGAAGGGAGAGAAAAAAAAAAAAAAAAGAAAAAAAAAGAAAAAGAAGTTGGAAAGAAAATTGCTCTGTCTTTTTTTTTTTTCCCTTTTCTTTCTTTCCTATCACAAACTGCTTTATACCGCGACATACCAGACCCACACATACGCGTGTCTCCTGCGGAGGTTCCGCTGCCAAGCGCCAGGACGGTCGGTGGGTCGGGCCAGGCTCAGGGACGCCCCTGTCGTGGCCACTCGCGGCGGCCCCACGACACTCGCGGTGCCCCTCTGGGCGGTGTCGGGGCGGCCCAAGCCATCCTGCAAGGCACCCCGGGTCACCCCTCTCAGTCATTTACTGGACCTTGAGTTACTTTTCCCCTACTCCCCTTCTCGCTTCTGTTGCCGGTTTTCTTTTAACACCAAAAGAGCGTCCCCTCCCCTCCGGGACGCAACAGCTGGGTCCCAGCAGTGGAGACCGGAGGAGAAGCGCTTGATCCGCGTCGGGTCCCGCCGCTCGGCCTTGCCAGGTCCTCGTTGGAAAGCGCCTGGTGCCATGGGCGAGAGGCGCTGGGACACCGCTAGTGTTTCCTGCCCCGCGAGGAAGTGGGGTCGGCGGTCCTTTTGGTGCCGCGCTTTCTCCCCTCGGGACAGGGCACAGCAGTGGGGCAGCCGCTTTGAAGTACTGTTAAATACATGAAACTTCTGGCAAAGTTCCTCCCTGCCCCGGTCATCTTCTTCTTCTCTTCTCTTCTCTTCTCTTCTCTTCTCTTCTCTTCTCTTCTCTTCTCTTCTCTTCTCTTCTCTTCTCTTCTCTTCTCTTCTCTTCTCTTCTCTTCTCTTCTCTTCGTCTTTTCTCTCCTCTCTCTCCCTTCGTTCCCCCCAGGTATTAAAGGCAGAGAAACCCTCTAGCCCGATTGCCCTCCTCCCCATCCCCCCCCCCCCCAAAAAAAAATAAAGAAAAAGAAAAAAAGGTATGGGGGGAGACATCCCAAAGCACTTTGGGAGGATGGGGGGCACCGTGCCCTGCAGGGTGTGACAATAGTTTTTTTGCTTGCTCTGCTGCTAAAATGTGGCTCCTTTCCCGATATTTTTTTTTCTTTTAAAGGAAGGAAAAAAAGGAAAATAAAAAAAAAGGAAGAAATAAAAATGAGAGGGGAGGAGGGAAAAGCGACCCACGAGGTTAAAAACCACCAAACAAAACAAGCCCTAACCGTGCACGGAGATGGCAACCACACATACCTCGCTGTGCCTGGAGTACGCCTCTCGCGCACGTGTGGCCGGGGAGAGGTTTGGGGAGCCTGTTATGTCTTCATAGTGGGCAGGAAACGTGTGCGAGTTTCTGAAAACAAAGGGGAAAACTTAAAACGCCGTTCGGGGTTTGGGGAGGTCTGGCCGGAACCGAGCGGAGCGTCTGCAGCCCCCCCCCCCGGGCACAGGCAGCCGCTCGCCCGCCGCGGAGCCCAGCCGGCACCGGTACCGGCAGCGGCAGCGCCGGGCTCGGCAGCCGCTCCGCTCCAAGCTTCGGGAGAGACGTGCCCTTAATGTATTTTGTATTTTATTTAGTTCGGTTTGGGCTGTTGTCACCTCTGGTTGGGTGGGAGGTTGGGATGGGTTTGGGGTTTATTTAGCCGCCGTCGGCGGCAGCACAAAGCCGGCAGAACAGCCAGGCCAGGTGAAAAAGCGGGTTTTGCTCGTTACGGGCAGTGGGGGCAGGTAGAGGCAGGGCATGAGCTGCCCCCGATTGCGAATGCGTGGGGCAGAGCACAGCTTGCTCTATGGACGGTGCCTCAATTTCTGACTTTTTTTTTTTTTTCTTCTTTTTTTTGGCCTGGGAAGAGAGCCTGAGGAGAGAGCAATTCCCAGAGAAACCACTCCGCCTTTTTAGGGGGTCTGCAAGCAGAGTCAGGAGACAATTTTATGATTAATTATAATACTAACCATAACAATTGAACCCCACACTCCACGCTGGTTTTCATGGTATAAACCAAGAGTCACACCGCCGGAGGAGAATCGGACAAGTGGGGCTGCCGCAGCCGGGCACGAGGTGCCGGGGGCAGAGCAGTGCCGTGCCCCCCCTACCCACAGGGGAAAGCAGGGAGCCGTCGGGCAGCGCCGTCGGAGAGTGCAAGCCGGCGGCCGGGGCACCCACCCGCTGCGGCTGGACATAGAGAGGGGGTGGGGAACGCTGGGGGACCCCACGGCCTTCCTCCAGGTTGGTCCCCAGGTTGCCTCCAGGGCTGGGGCAGGGAGGTGTGGAAAGCTCAGGCTCAGTGTTGGAGACAAAGGGAGAAATATTGGCGTGGGGAGAATTGGGGTGAGGGGGGACGAGGTGGAGGAGGGAGAGAACTGAGGGGCGCAGAGAAGGATTCCAGGGCCAGCGGTCCCTCAGCCCAGGCCACCCGCGCACAAGGCTGAGAGGCGGGTCTCGGCTGTCCTCCCCCCAAAAAAACCCAACCCCTGAACCCGATGAATTACCGCTCCCCCTTAAGCGTGGCAGGGCCGCGCCGGGGTCAGGGCCCGAGGGAGGCGGGCAGAGAGGGGCTGCGGGCTGGATGCGCCAAGGCCAGGGTCAAGTTCAGGGCCAGCCTGGGTAGGACGAGGAAGTTGGGGGGGGGCAACTCACGGCCACGAACACCGCGTCCCCTTCCCCAGACCGGCCGGGAGAGCGGCATCGCTGGCCGGAGGGAGCGGCGCTGCCCTCGCTGCCACACGACCTGTGCTTCGGGCCGGGGAGGCCGCCGCCTGCTCTGCGCATCCCGCTACCGGGGGTCGAAGGGAAATCAGCAGCTGGGGCACCCCGAAAACAGAACGTCTCTTAGGGGAGGGAGAAAGGAGAGCTCCGCTGCTCTTCTCTCCGGCCGGAGCGCTGGGACCGCCAAGAGGGGTTCGTCGCTCTGGGGCAGGGCTGCCTGTGTGTTCCCAGTCCCGGGAGGGAATTTTAGGCAGGCGGGGGTTGGCAGCACGAGCAGGGCTCGGAAGCGGGACCACCGTTTGGTTTTTCGGCAGCGGGAAGGCCGTCAGGACAAAGAGGGATCCTCGCAGCTGCATTTCCTACGGATTTCTCCAAGGGGCAGGCGGCATATGCCAATGATTTTAATAAATTTTTTTTTTTGCGTAATATTATTACGGAACATAAATTAGGTTTTAATAGCCGTTTGATTGCCCGGGGAGCCTGCCGGGTGTGCGGGGATGGCAGCGCTGGGAGGGGCGCGGCCACGAAGGAAGCTCCATCTCCACTCCGCATCTAAACTCCGTTGGCAGCGGCGGGACAGGGGGATCATTCCCTTCCCTCTTCCTCTCTCCCTGGGTGTAGGTAACCCCCACCGCACCCCGGAAGTGAGCAGGGCCCCGTATACACTCGTCCCTCCACCTATCTTCCCTCCAGCGGCTTGGAGCATCTCTATTGCTATTTGAACATGGGGGACAAAGCCCAAAGTCCCAAAACCTCAGACCGATGACCTGCCCGGGGGAGGCGGCAGTGGGGTCTGCCCGGTGAGAAGAGCCAAGGGCTCTCCCCGCCCGCATAAGCTGCCGCTGAATGCAGCGCAGCCACCGCAGGGCGCTCGGAGTCTGGCTCACGGCTCTGCATCCTCGCAGGGCATAAATTCGGTTGCTTGGCGAGGCCGAACTTTTTCCACCTTTTCCCTGCCGCTGCCATCCTCCCTTCGGGCGTCCCTGTGCGGAAGGGGGTGCTCGGAGAGCTGCTGCCTGCCGGACCCAAAAGGGGCGTTCTACCGGCCGGGCCCCGACGGCGCCGGCGGAGAGCAGTGCTGGGCCAGAACCGCGAGGAAAAGGCATCTCCCGGAGGCTCTCGGTCCCTCGCTGAGGACGTCTGGCAGCCCAAAGCGCTCCCCGGGCTATTAGCAAAAAAAAAAAAAAATAGAGGGAGGGGGGAGGAACAAAAAAGCAGGTCGAAGGGAAATGTGAGCTCTCTGGCATCGCTACTTTCTCCTCTCAAAGGCTGGAGGGAGGCTATCAAAAATGCGAGAAGGACACGGTTTACGGCTCAAAGCAGCCCTGAGCAGAGCTCAAAGCCTGGCCGTTGCCCCTCCACCTCCATCCCGTAGCACCCCGTTTTAGTCACCCCGCGGGGCACCGGGAACGAAGGGAAAGACGGAGTCAGGAGGAAGGTGAAGGAAGCTGTGCTGTTGCCCGGTAAAGCTCTTCCTAAAGAAGATTCCTGCCTTGCTATTCATTAGGGGAATATGGAAACGCGCACCCTTTTCTTTTAGCCCAGAGGCTTCCCAAATTTATATATATACATAATATATAATATATATTTCTCTGAAAAATTAAGTAAATCTTCGCATTCCATTAACCCGCAGATTTTTATAAACTATTTGTTTCACAGTCGCCGATCAAGTCCTCACGCACTTTACAGCAGGTTTCAGAGAGCCTTTGACACAAAAAAGGAATCAGTCCGTGCAGTTTCAACACGTTTTATTATATTTCTGTATGCATTACTCTCAAAACATATCACAAGAAATGATGAAACCACTTAAACCTTCAAATAAAAAATCTGAAACAGTTTATGCTCACAATTGTACATATTTATAGTTAAGAAACATTCTTTATAAATACTGTTTCCTCTGTAGCAAGTTAATACCATAATTTAATTACAAATGGATAAATATGGTAACAGGTATTTACAGGAGGAAGGGTGTTATTACAGAAAAGCTAACGGCACAACGTTTATTTTTTCCTCACAATCTTCCGAACAGTAACTAACAAATTGAACTTGCAAAAGCACTAAAACATCACATGTAAACCCAGCTAACAGAAAAATACATTCACAAGCGTTGTTGTTCGTGTGTGTGTCTGTGAGTAACAGAATGGAGACTTTGGCACGGTATTTCTTCCCCAGTCTATAGTCGAAATGCAGTATACAATCAAGTTGCCTCTTAAAAAGGAACACAATATTTAAGATATCACGATTACAAAAAGAAACCATTTTTTCTTCCACGTTACTTTTTTTTTCCTTTTTTTTTTTTTTTTCCAAGAGGGGAACTAAAAAAGGAGGAGAGAAGGAGATGGAGAAGGGGAGTGGTAGGAAAAAAAACAAGTCCATCACTTTTTTTGGGAGGGAGGAAGAGAGGGGAAAAAAAAAGGAAGAAAAAAAAAGAAGAAGAAAGGGACCAATCCGCGGTTTACAAACGGGACGAACTTCTATACACCAGGAATCCAGGAAAACTTCGTTCCCCCCTAGCCGGAGGAAGGAGAGGGCCGCTATGTACACAGTTGGTGGGGTGGGAGGGCGTTGGCTGCTCCGGGTGGGGAGGCGCAGGGGCCGGGGCAGTTAAGTCTCTGATCTTTTGTCTGGAGGCTCCGGAGGGAGAGTTGCTTTCCGCCGGCTGGAGAAGCTTTTTGCTGGGTGCTGTGGTTGGTGGCTTTTGGGGTTGGGTTTTCCCCCCTCTGTCTTTCTCTTCCCTTTCCGTTCTTCTATGTATTTACTCATTTTCTTGCGTTTCTTAGGACATAGGTTTAGAGTAAATTTTTTTTGCTGGTTCAAAATGTTCTCAAAAAGAAATTCAGGGAAAAAATCCAACAACAAAAAACAGAAAAAAGGCGCGAAGGCGGGAGGGGTGTGGAGAGATAAGGACCCCCGTCCCCATCCTGCTCGGCCCTCATTTCGCTGCCAGCGGGTGCGGCGGCTTTTCCCAGCACGTCTCCAGCGGGCTCTCTCCGTCCTACCCGCTGCCGCCGCCGCTGGGGCCGGGAGGCGAGGGCGCGGCGGGGCCGTGCAGAGCAGTCCGGCGGGGCCCTACACGTACCACTCGTTGAAGTTGGAGGATAGGCCGCTGTGGCCGCCGCCACCGCCGCCGCCGCTGCCACCGCTGCCGCTGCCGCCCCGGTGCACGGCGGACACTGCCGCCGCCGCCGCCGCTGCTGCCGCCGCCGCCGCCGCCGCCGCCGGGGAGAGGTTGCTAGTGCTCTGCGACTCGGCGCTAGGGGACACCAGCCCCGGGGGGGTGGAGGACTCGTAGCCGGAGCTGGCGGCCGGGGAGGACTCGGAGCCTTGTGGGGACGACTCGTGCACCTGGGGGGCAAAGGCAACACGGCCCGGTGGAGGGGGGATGGGGAGGCCGCCGCCACCGCCCCCCGGGCGCTCCCCCCGCCGCCGGCCCGGCCCGCCGCCGCCCCCGGGCCCGCGCCCTGCCGCCCGCCGCCCCGACGGGGCGCCCGGCACGGGGCGGCCGCCCTCCCTCCTCCCGCCGCTGGCTGCGGGGCTGGGTACCTTCATGTGCTTCCGCAGGGAGCTGGGGTGAGTGTAGGACTTGTCGCACATCTTGCACAGGTAGGGCTTGTCCGAGGTGTGGACGTGCATGTGCTTCTTGCGGTCGCTGCTGTTGGCGAAGCGCCGGTCCCGCAGCCCTTCGAACTCGCACTGGAAGGG